AGAGGCATCAGGTGCCCTTAGGACGGGGAAAGATCTTAATTTCCGGTAACGGCGGCACAATGACCCTGGTCGCAGGAAATGTGGTTTGGACGCTGCCACTGTGATGGGGCACATTCAGAGAAGACCCCTTGGGATTGTAGCCCACAGTGCTGATCATGCCACTGACACCTGCCTACTGACTCTCTGGGACTCCCCACCACTCTGGCCTGCTGGGCCCAATCCTCTGGTCTCCCCCTGCCAAACCACAGAGTTGGGGGTTACAGCCCCCCTGCAGAGCAGTGCAGACACTGAACCACTTCGTCTCTGGGGAGACGCAGTTCTAGGGCACAACACCCAGGAAGCCAACCCCCCCAAAAGGGATCAAAGTCCCAAATAAATCCTGGTTCTTGGCAGGTCTAAGAACCTAAACTTTTAACAGCTGCTGTGTGGTGACAAATTCAGAATGACATTCCCCACCCTCTCACTGAGAAAAAGAAAAAAACTAATAACATCTAAACACAAACCAATCAGAAACATGAGCAGTTCTGACTCTGAAAACAACTGCCGAGATTCCCCTTTGCTACTGACTTGATACCCAGCCCCTTAGGTAGATTTATCGGCATCATATTTGTGCTTTAAGTTGTCACTGATTTGGTGGGAAGCGTCCATTTTTAGAAAGCTTTACTGCTCACTTTCAAATCCAAGATATGTTAGTGTTGTTTATTTTAGCTGGGAATTAGGCAGCTGTTGAAATTCAGTGGAATATGGATCCCATTTATCTTGGGATTCCTGTAAAATTCCACCCTATTTTTATTATTCTAGTACCTGCGGGCCCCAGCAGAGGCCCAGGGTGTGCTGTCGAAACGCAGAGGCAGAGAAAGTGCTTTCCCCGAAGAGCTAACAAACGGGAAACAGGCACAGGGACTTTGGCCCCCTCGCATTTTCCATCCAAAGATCTCAGCATGGTTCATAAGCATTCCTCCATTTAACCCTCTCCAGCCCCTGCGGGAAGCAAGTGATGGATGTGTTTGGATTGAAATCCAGCATTGAAATCCTGCCACTTCTGGGGTAGAACACTGCAGCATTTTGACAGCAAAATAGTTTGCAGACAGAAATTACACTATTGTATCCAATTGAAAATTCAAGTGGAGGATTTTTAAGTGGTCGTCTGCAACTACTCGAGTGGAAATGTTGCTGGGGGCCAGACTGAGTGTGGGGCGAGGATTTTCACAACTGATTGGAATTCCAGATTAAACTGAAGATGTAGCCATAATTAAAGGCATCTTAACCCTTTCCTCTCCTCTGACCTTGGGTTCACCTATACTTAAATCATTACATCAATACAGTAGTGGGTTTTTCATACCCCAGAGAGTTGTGGCTATGTCGGTTAAGTTCCCCCATCTACACTTGCCCTTGTAGACACACCTTCAGTTCCCATGAGTTAGGCTTCGGGTAGAAAATGGTGGTGTGAGAAGTAGAGAGACGATTGTTTATTTTTTCTGTTCTCTACTGGCTCTCATTTGATTGGATGCCTTCAGCTGCACTGTAAGGTCAGGTCAGATTATCCAGGGACCCAGTCCTAGGAGGCACTGCCATGAGTGTTAAGCTGTGCCAGCTGGCATGGCTTTATTTGTGCCCAGACTGCTAATTCTGCTAGGGATGCAGCTCTGCCTGCTGCCATGTTCCTGAAATT